ACCTTATGTAACGGTGTGAGTTGCTTATATAATTACAGCAAAGAGGAGAGTCCCTCAGTGGCCTGGACTTCATATGCCAAGTTCATGTAGGATGGCATCTGTCTGCTCAAGTACATTTCCCTACACACCTTCCCAATTCCCCACATTCTTTCCGAATCTTCACATTGTTCCCCACTATCATCTTCTCATCCCTCATTTTGCAGATGGTTAAGCCCCTACTTCACATAGCATACAGAGCCCCACAGGCATAACTCGGCTTACTTCCTCTTCTCCAGTTTACTTATCTCAGAAGAAGAGGTTGCCTTGTACTCTGTCTCCCTGAATCCCTCCCCTCTTTTGCCAGAGTTCCTGAAAGTGTGATCTGTCTGTTCCTGCTTATGCTATTTAGCTTCTTTCCCATGCCGCATCTTGAAATGATCTGACTCGATCTAAGGCCCTGTGGCCCAGATCAGCATGAAATTCCTGATTTTTAAAAGCAGTGTTCTTTTTCCAGACCTCATCTTCTACCTCTGCAGCATGTGTCCCTGTTGTCACATTCCTCTGCTTAATGCTTTGTGTGTCTTTTCATGTGCCCAGAGCAGACATTCAGAAGTATTGAACCAGTAATTCTGATATCTTCTGAGTGTTCAGCCAACATCTTTAATGGACAATACTGCCTGAATCTCAAATGCCTTATAGCCAAAAACAAAGCTATGATTTCCTCTGCCCCCCTCTTGCTATCTTCTTGGTGATCTTCTGATCATATGTGCCCAGGCCACATACCTTAAGGTCATCCTTGACACCTCCTCTTTCTCTTATTTTCATCCTGAGTCTAAGTTCTGATGAGTATCTCCCTCATCTTTCTTTCTTTTCCAACTGCTATTGCCTCCAACTATTGCCTCTTTTCATTCCTAGTCTCTTGTCTGGATTACTTCAGTAGTACATTTAGGAGTTTTTAATTTGGATTCCATGAATAGACCTCAGGGGATCTAAGAATCCCCTCAAAATTGTGTGCAAGTTTTTTGTACCTGTGCATTTTTCTGGGGAGGTGCATTAGGCTATTCCATGGGAAAGAAAGTGAGAGATACAGTGAGAGACTGTAACAATTTAAACAAGCCAGTTTCACTCATTTCTCCATTTTTTTTTTTTGCCTGCTCTTTGCTATTTAGTTCCCTAACCCAGGGCACTGATCTCTGAGTAGTGAGGGAGCATGTGAGACATACAAAAAAAAGTAATAGCAATCAGTACAGCTCTGCAGTCAGACAGTCCAGCGGCCAAGAGATCAGAGGTTCCCTAACATCAGAGCCATGCTTTAATGTCCTGGAGAAGCTCAGGAGAAAGCTGGGGCATCAGCAGGGGCATCAGTAGGGAGGTGTCCTCCTGAGCCCTCTGTTCCCATTTGTTCATGTGCTTCCAAAGAAATTGGAGGGATATGAGAAGCTTAATTGGTGAAAATCCAGAGCTAGCCAGTGAGGCAGTGTCCCCAGAAAAAGGTTAAGAACATTTCTTCAACTAGACTTCCACCCTCTGCCTCTTTGTTCACTAATCCTTCCTCCATTCTACCACCAGACTTAGTTTTTAAACACATATCTTATTGTGCACCTTCCTTGATTAAAAACCTCGGGGTTTTACAAAACATATTAAAAACTCCTGGGCATGGTGTCAAGGCCTTCTGTAGTTGGGAACTTCTCAGATTCATCGCCAGGCACTCCCCTCTCCTCACCTCCAAGGCTGAGCCACAACAGGTTACTACTGGCTGTTTTGAGAGGACAGTTTCCTTTGTCCATACCTTTGTGTGTTTGATCATTCCAGCCTCTCTCTTAAGGGTTCCATTTCTTCTCTGTTGCCCAACCATGAACCTCTACTATCCTTCAAGGCCCAGATGGAATGTTACCTCTTCCTCTATGTCCATCCCTAATTTTCTGCCATCACTCTGGCAGAATCAAGTCTCTCTTGGCTGCGTTCCAAAAACATTTCATGCATATCTCTGATAATGTCATATTATATTATAGATAACCTTTTTTAATTTCCGTCTTTCCTACTAAACCAGGAATGCCCTGCGGGTAGGGATGGCCTTTTTCATGTTTGTATCCCTAACACCTAGTTTCATGCATAGTCCAAACAGGAGTTTAATACACTTTTGTTGAATGGAATTACTTATGAAAAGTTTTTATGACTCATTTAAAATTAGAGACCAATGCTTATTTAATAAGTCAGAATAGGCTATAATAATAATGGTAATAACAAAGTCTCATTTCCACTGCTTATTCAAGTAACTGCTTCCTTTGTGGAAGTGGATTTTGAAAATCTTCACATGTCAGTTGTATATTTTTGATGTGCTTTTTGAGATCCTAAAAGAATTATAGTTCTAATGCAGACTAGAGCTTCTGTGACATTTCTATTGATGTTATATTGAATAGAGTCTGTCATTTCAGAGATCTGTATTATATATAATAAGTTCCATGTAAATGTATCTTATCTCTCTCAAACTTCATTGTAATATTTTGTGAAATGTTTAGTTATTTTATAAGATCTGGGTCAATTAAAATGAGCATTTTCCACATTTTAACAGAGTTACAGAGTTAAGATTCTAGTAGTTATATATTATGTAGTTTGTTCTACTAAATTTGCAGAGTTCAGCTATGGTACACCATTCCATAAATTAAGAACTTTAAATAAAAATTTTAAAACAGGCTTCTCTCCCTCATTTTCTTTGAGTTTTTTAAGGAAAGGAATCCATAATTTACTTATTCAGCCACTTATCGAGTACATATTATATGCTAGGCACTATGCTTCATGTTTGCAATTCAGGATTGATGAGACAGTAGCTGCCCTTGAATAGTCCACAGTCTAATGCTGAAGAAAGTATATACACAAATTATGGCAATTTAAACTTTGGAGAAAAGGAAGGAAACTCGTCCTTTGAGAACCAGTGTCGATGTTGAGAATGGATGTGTCTACAGATAAATATGTAGATACAGAATCAGGGAGCTATAGGGAGCCCATAGTCTTTAAAAAAAAAAAAATGAAGTAGGAAGGTAGGTCATCTTTAGGAGTTAATGGCATGGGGTAGCACTTGAGAAGAATGGTGAACATCTGGACAATTACTAAGGGGAATGGGAGATAACTAACAAAAACAAGTAAAGTATGCCATGCAGTATGGAGGAAGTAGTGATGTGGAACTGAAATTGGATGGTATGAAATTGTGAGGATATCAGCACAGTGGTATAAAATTCTCTGGCTGTGCTCTGTGACCACTGTTCAGGTGCAATAAAACCATGTTGTGTTCAGGGCTTGTGGGATGGGTATTCCAGGAGTATAAGAAGGCCAATGAGTTGAGAGTCCTTGAAAAAAACTATGGCTTAATATGGAAGTATCATTGGGGGGAAGTTGATAAACTTGGAGAAAGTTGAGAAACTGGAGATGAGGATAAGGCCTGGTACTCTGTAGGTACTCAGCAAATCTTCAGTTTTTCTTTCTGTCTCTCCTTGTACCTATTTCACCACCACCATCACCTGCCTCTGCGTGTGGTTTATATATAGGAATAGTTTCAAATCATCATGGTAGCAGTTGGCTTGGAGGAAAAGATTAGGAGGCAGGTTCCAAAGTCCTCACCAAATGTGCCAGTGACTTGGATGCTGGCAGGGCTTGGTAGTATTGACCTCTAAGTGAAGCGCAAGGCTTTCCCCCTCATCTCCTGCTTGAAGTGTGGGTCACGGGCCAAGACATTTTTTTGAGCCATGGTTCTTAGTACAGAAATCTGCTCTGTGATAAGAAAGGTTAAGACTAAGCCATCAAGGGTTTCCACTAAGTTCCCCTATTCTCCACAAACCTTACCATAAGCACAGATCTCATTACTTTCAGAGATTTAATAGGGCGTCCTTTTTGACATAATTATAGAAGTAATGATCTTACTGGCAATCCAAAAGGTCTTCCTCCTTAGAATCTAATATTTCTAGTAGAGTTGGTTATATCTTGTGATTTCTTTTACGTGAATTATTAAATGTGTTGTCATCATTGAAAACACACAATTTATATTCCATTTCCAGAAATTTTCTTTTTCACCTGTAGTTTTGAGTGTACCACTAAAATAATTTTTTATTTCACAGCATTCTTTTTTGGTGTAGGAGAAATAAAAAACTCATTTAAAAAAGTCATGCATCGAAACTGTAAAACTGCTAGAAAGGTGAAAATTCCTAGTGTGAGTAAACAGAAACAACAGGTCATCCTAATCTTAAGAAATGGAGTAATTGTTCATGTAGAATTGATAAGAAATCCTGGAGCATCTAGATTATTAGTCTTGTTATTTTGTTATTAATGATACCTTTATAGCATTTGGCAGTGCTTGCCTAGAAAAGAAGTTTCCTTTGGAACCTCATCTGGGTGGCTCTGAGAAAGCATGTGCCTCACTTGGCATTAGTCATGTGAAGCAGACCATTTAACTTTATCCACGAAGTCTGTAATATCCATCTGGATCCTATGGATTGCTCTAGACCATCCAACTCAGACATGTTTGCCCTTTCTTCAAGTGCTTGTATTGACAGGTAGACCTGTAATTTCTATGACTAAGATAGAGTTTCCATAGCTTACTGTATCATAGAGATTTGTGTTAGGTTAAATTTACAAAAACAAAAAAACACCAGATCTCTTTTCCTCCCCTGACTTTAAAGAATAATGAAAAATAAGTAATAGTTCCTAATTAGGTATTTAGTTTAAAGAGACCAAGTTAAAAGTATTTGTTCTACATGATAGTTCAAATATGCTTTTCCGAAGACCTTTAATTGGCAGCTTCCCCCTCAAATATTGGTACTGGTGTAGGAATTGTTTCTGAATTTAAAAAAAAAAAAAAAAAGGAGCTTCACTTGTTCATTCTTGTTCTGTTCATGACACCTGGCTATTAATGTATGTTAATGAAATCACTGTATTTCTCATAATGTGCATACGAAGAAGAACGAAAACTTTCCTTTAGATGTCTTACTTGGATTTTAGTTGATGTAAGACTGTTTTCTTTTTCTTTTTAGGTTGCAAACATGTTAAAGGCATCCTGTTATATGGGCCCCCAGGTTGTGGTAAGACTCTCTTGGCTCGACAGATTGGCAAGATGTTGAATGCAAGAGAGCCCAAAGTGGTCAATGGGCCAGAAATTCTTAACAAATATGTGGGAGAATCAGAAGCTAACATTCGTAAACTCTTTGCTGATGCTGAAGAGGAGCAAAGGAGGGTAATGTTAATATAAGTATAATTCAGTAAAAGTTTATTATTACTTATATGATGAATGAAACCCAGAGTTATGGTGGAAAACTTGTTAGAACAATCTATATTTTGAAAAACTTCAGGGTAAAATTTATTTAGACCAAGGTATGTCACTCAACCCAGGATTATCAGGGATTTACGTGACGTGAGCAGATGTCATTACCCACATGTTCATAATACAAAGATTGTATAAGCCAAAAGTTTTACAAAAACAGATCATGAATATATTTTCAGGTGACACTTTTATTCCACATTACTTCCAGAGACTTGAACTCATCTTTTGGAAAGGGAGAAGTTAAATTCATAAAGGGACTTGTAGAATTGTGTTTATGTTACGTCCACGGGCAGAAAGCTAGCTTATTTATCACTGTGTCAGCTCAGTTGTAGAGTGACAGGTATGAGTTGTTAGGTCTCAGAGGCAGGCTTGATTTGGGTCTTAGAAGAAAAATAAAAGTAATTAAAAATAGAACCAGAGTTTACTAATTATGATTTTATGTGTCAATTTGACTAGGCCTCAGAGTGCCCAGACATTTGGTTAAACATTATTCTGAGTGTTTTTTGTGGGGATATTTCTGGATGAGATTACCATTTGTATCAGCAGACTGAGTAAAGCAATCACACTCCCTAATGTGGGTGGGCTCCATCCAGTCAGTTGAAGGCCTGAATAGAACAGAAGATCTGCAGATCTTGGGCCTTGTCAGCCACCATAATTGTGCAATTAATCTCCATATAGCTAGCTAGCTAGATTGATAAATAGAGATCTAGGTATAATATAAATCTCTTTCTAGATATATAAATCTACATGTACATCTGTATATTTTCAGGTGACTAATAGGGTGGATCTTGGTTCTGTTACACTGGAAAACTTAGACTAATACACTAATATTACATATTTGTTTCATTGACAGAGTGTTTAAAAATAATGCCATGGGATTTTTGTTTGTGGCAATATAGTAGAGTAGGCAACTTGGAAACCTTCCTTCTACAAACACCTTCATATGCTGGGTAAAATATAATAAATCATTTCAAATGCATAATTGAGCTCTCAGGAAAGAAAAGAAGATCTCCGGAAATGAAAAGAAAACTCTGAAAATTAGAATGATAAAAATATGAGCTAAAGCTTTGGTTTTGGTAAAGTATGAGTTTGGGTTTTAGCACCACTTGGGGCAGAAAATGAGTCCTTGCATTTAAGGTATGGACTAGGAACTGGAACCTTCAAGGGGCTGTGTCCTCAATGAAAAGAATGGACTAGAAAATATCTGCCTACCAGCACAGAGAAATAACAAAAACACTTAACTGTCTACCTGGGTTTTGAAGTGGGAGCTGATGAATCTCTCATGGCCACTCTAAACTGTGGATCCTTAACTCATGCTTAGGATTTAAAAACAAACAAGCAAAAAAGCATTCTATCTATGGTCTTGGGCCTTGGGTCTATGGTCTATGAGTCTTGGGCTGAGAAAATAATTTTAAAATGAATCCTGGATTAATGATACCATAAGGTTGTTAAATATGAGCAAACCCCAAGGAATGCTCCAACAGCCCAGTCCACAAGAGATTCTCATAGGGGAAGCTGAAATAGTTTCAATGAATGGAAAATGTTATCATCAAAATGTAAAGCTCAGCAACTAGGTTAAACAAGCCAGTAGTTTCAGCTGAAGAGAGAAGTGATAAACAGAAGAATAGATCTGGAGAAATCACCCAGAATGTAGCACAGAGAGATAAAGAGATGGAAAATATGAAAGAGAAGTTGAGTTAAAAGGTTAAAGTGAGAAGTCCAAATAGAAAGAATAGTGTAGAAGCAATATTCGAAGATAGAATGGCTGAGAATTTTCTAGAATTGATAAAACATAAATACTCAGATTCACATAGCACCATGAGCCCAAATAGGATAAATAAAAATTAAGTTATTTTTAGACCCATTGTAGTGAAACAAGAATGCCAGAGAAAAAAGAGAAACATCTTATATAAACAAAAAAGAAATGATGATGACATACAAAGGGAGGTCCATATGTTGACAGCAAACTTTTCAATGACAGCAACAGAGATCAGAAAATGGTGAAACAGTATCTTCACAGAGCTAAGTGAAAATAATTAACTTAAAATTTTATAGCCAGTTTAATTCTCATTGAGCAATAAAGATGAAATAAAGATATTTTTTCAAGCAAAAACTAATAGAATTAACTAGTCCCAGAAGCTTGCTGGAAGAATATGAAGGAGAATGAAGGAAGTTGAACACAGAAGGAAACAGTGGGTGCAGGAAGCAATGATGAGCAGTGAAATCGGTGAAAATGTAGATAAAAATCTGAAGTTTCTGCTTCTGGTAGTGGCAGATTAGGTAACTTGAATCATGCCTGCCACTGAAGAGCACCAGAAAAGCTCAACAAAATATTTAATTATTTTTTGCTTGAAGGAATCAAAGAACTGACAAGATCTAGGGGTAGAACGGAGGCCCAGGTAAAAAGGCCCTGGTTTATAGAGGCTCATAGAAAAAAGGTCACTGTTTTTCTGGAGATATTAGCCAGTTCTGGAGTTGGCTGCTAAACAGCTTTGCAGCCCTTTTGATAAGCTAGTGGGAGTACTGGGCAGAGATTAGAGCCTATGGCCCACAAAGAGGGAACACCTGATGTATGTGCCCCATTTTGAGTTGGAACACTGAAGGGCCACACCATAGGAGCAAGGATTAACTAGAAGTAGACATGGGTCCTTTTAGAAAAATGAAATGGCAAAGTTTCTTGTCACAAAATACAGCACATTGAAGACTTTTTCTTGAACAAATAACTGGGTGAAAATGTCATATTTTCTTTTTGTCCTTAGAAATACATTTTCTCATTCTTGAGTTTGAGAAAATTTATGTAGAATATCATCACCTGAAGGCATGTCGTAGTCTGAGATTTTACTTACAATGATCAATTTCACCATCTTCATTAGAGTCTCAAATGCTGCTGTCTCACTCTTTGCATTCATCTTTGGATTCATATCACTGTGAAATATCTTTATCAATTTTCTTTCTTTTTTTTTTTTTTTTCTTTTTGCCATTATGGCCAGAGAATTTAAAACATCTAAGTTCTCAACTGTGTTCCATTAAAACTAAAACCAGGCAATAAAAATGGTGAATGGTATCTCCAGACTTCTTTTATACCTTCTTGAAAAATGATGCAATACTTTGAACACTAAGAAAACTGAAGGATGATGTCATAGCGATACTTATTTCACTATTGCATCATTCTAAGCAGTTTCATCATTCTTTCATTTCTTATTGTCTTAATCTTTTTTTGGCATAGTTGGTAATTGATGAGTAATGATGAGATAATTTCTAGAATGTTGAAGTAGCATAGTATAGCTTAGATTCATAAAAAAATCCAATAGACCCATATGGTAATTTCCAGATAGAATAAGTGTTATTTTATTTTTTTTAATATATTTTCCCTTTTGGTCTGTGGAAGACTTCTAAGAAAAAAAAAAGTCATGAAGTAGCAATCTTTAGAAATAAACTTGCAGTCAGTTTAAATATGACACTATTAATGATAAAATTGAGTTGGCAGAGAATTTCTAGGTAAGTGTTAATCATAGCCAGCCTTTTCAGTTATACCTTTTTCAGTTCTTACATCCAGAAATGGCTTGGTATACTCAACTAATGACCCCATGGAGGGTATATGTGTGTTACATAATAAAGAAAAGCATCACCTCTGTGATTCTGGCCAGTCCAGGCTGACAGAGGTGAACACTTGCATATAGGTCAAACTAGTTAAATATAGAACTGTGGCTCTCCAAGGCTGTTGCCAGGAGCTCAATAGCATCAGCTCTGTTTCTATGGGGGAAGACTTTTCAGATGGTAAGAATAGAGCTAGAAGCCAGCAAATTGAAGAGGATTGCATTGTGGAAATTTAAACTCTGGTAAAGGGTTTATTGATGATTCAGCTCTATTAATCTGTGAACATTAATTTTGACATCTTCCTTACCTGACTCCTGATTTATTGCAATAAGAACTTGGCTTTATTTAAGTAACACACCTGTAAAAATTGATGTTATTATACTGACTAGGTTGGGGAAAGGGACCTGATGACAGGTCACAAGATTAGTAAGGTTCTGAAAAGGTCAGAATTGTACTGAATTATGTTTAGGACAGATTGCTCCTGTGATCATTTAATCAAACACAGTGTTCTTATTGTCTCTGGCTTCCCTTCCACAGAGATGATTTTTGAGGTTGGCCTGAGAAGGAAGTCATGATTCCAGTGGCAACATAAGGCACATTGACAGCGAAATTCATACATTATAGCAGCTTTTTGTTTCATGCTCTATTGGCAGACAACCTTGAATAAAAATGCCTTATAAAAATAATGTAGAATCCCACAGTTTTTCAGTCACAAACAGGAGTGTCCTTGTTTAGTACTGAAGACGGCAAGAATTAATACCCTACATAGAAGTGTTTGGCAAAGCTAAGGTGGTAGTTCCAATTCCTCCTCCTCAGTCTTCTCTGCAGATGGAAAGATGAATAGTTTTTGGTGTTGAATTTTTTTTTTAACAGCAAGCTATCATTTATCATCAGACGTCTGTTCAATAAATATGATATTGAGAAATTATGTTCAGATTTGAATTTAGTTTTTTAAACATTTGTGGAAGGAGAACAATTTGTAAGTAATGTTCAGGAAAAAAATAATAAAACCTAGTTAAATTTTGGAAAACTTGATGAGCACATGACTATCAATTATCTTGCATAGTGTTGCATTAGAGAATGAATAATACTCTGAATATGAATGATAGAACATCTTATAAGATATTTGTGTTTCTATTTATTATTATGAAATAATACTGACTTTCTTGTGTACAGTTTTATGAATTTTAGCATGTGTATAATTTTATGTAATCACCATTAAAATCTAGATATAGAACATTTACATCACCCCCAAAAATTCCCTCAGGCTGTCGCTTTATGGTCACTCTCCCTTGCTAACAGCTCCTGGGTAACTACTGATCTGTTCTCCATCCCTATAGTTTTGTCTTTTCAAGAATGTCATATAAATGGTATCTTAGTATGTAAGCTTCTGAGCCTTGCTTCTTTTACGGGGCGTATTTTCTTGGAGATTTACCCAAGTCGTTGCAGGTCTCAAGCATCCCTTTCTATTGCTGAGTAGTAGTAGTCCATTGTGTGGATGCACTGCAGTTTGTCTATTCATCCACTAAAGGGCATTTAGGTTGTTTCCAGTTTGGGGCACTTAGGAGCAGAGCTGCTGTGAGCCAAGGGGTGGAATTGCTGGGTCAAACAGTATTTCATCTGATTTTGATGTTTTAAAAACTTTATATATTTAGGTTTGTTTTAGACCCCATCTAATTTATCTCTGTCATGTTTTCTTGGTCCCCCTTTTCTTCAGGTTGCCTATATTGTAGGCATCTAACAATTTGTCTTCGGGAAGTTCATTGCAACAGCATACATAATACTGAAAACTTAGAAATTATTAAAGATCTGTAGCAAGGAATTAATGTGGAGCAGGGGAGTTAAGCTATAAAACCAGTCATACAATGAAATATGTAGCCATTAAAAATCATATTGTATAGCTGTATTTATAGGCATGGGAAGCAGCTTAGGGTAATGTCCGGGCTGAAAAAAAGCAGGATACAAATTATTTACATAGCATCAAATTAATAATGTTAGTTATTTCTAGCTAGTTGAATTTTGGGTGATTGTGATTTCTTTACTTTTTTGGTGTTTTTCCAAATTTTCATACTATCATGTATTTTGCAATTAGAAACTAAAATAACCATTTAAAATTGTTTTCAAAGAATAGTTAATGTTCAAGAGAATAGCAGATACAATAAGTTCCCAATTTTGTAATTAAAATAAATTTAAAATATAGAAATAAATCTGCAGAATGTTAACAACAGATATTTTTAGGTAATATAATATAGTTTAAGTTATTTCTACAACTTTTGATCAGTTAACTTCTGATACTTTTATAAGTTTTAAACGTATTTTTAAAAAATCATATCCTTGCCAGAGGTTTAATGAATACCAACCATATCTAATCCTTAATCTCACTATGCCCATCTTAATATTATCCATATGGTGTCACATTTAGGTTTTGTTCATTCTTATCTGTTTTGTTTTGTTACTCCCTCACAGTTTTGTTTTCTAAAAAAAGAAAATTTCTAGAGCACTTCTCCCTTTGGTTACTAATAAGGGACTTAATTACTTAAATACAAAATGATAGAAGGTCCATTTAACCAAACCTAATTAATTAGTAGAATTTAAAAGTATTTGCATCTATTAAAGTTTTAAAATATATAACTTATTTTAACAATGACTCTTATTTCCAATAAACTAAAACAGAAATCACTATGCAGAAGAAACAGCACCCCCTTCACTGTATTCTTTTTATAAACTGTGTCTGTTAGGAAAAAATAATCTGTTTTCATGTGATAGAACTGAATGTGAATCATATTTAATTCCTTACCCCATTTCCCAAATTCCCAGTGGACCTCTGGGTGGAGTTACCATTTAGCTATATAATGTGACAAACAAATGAACATTAAACCTATTTCTAGGACGATCTCCTCACCAAAAGTCAGGGAAAATGGGAGGGAGTTGCCATTCACTGACTTTGCATCTGATAAATATAAGAATTCTTTTAAATAGTGAGGTAAGAAATGAGTGTAAATGAACAGTTAGTTATATGATGGACTATTCACTTTCATCAGCATATAATGTGTATGTTTGTTTTATGGCTATTAAATAAGAGGTTCTGGAATGTCTTTGCAGTTTGCAGAATTCTGAGAATGCAGTTCTAACACCTTTGAGAGAGCAGCAACCATGACTAGACTTGCTATATTTATTAGTCAACATGGAGCAAAGTCCATCTATGGAAAGCTTTGCTTTTTTGATTAGTTTGATAATATATTCAAATTATTTGACCTTTAATATAATTTCTTCCCTTACTAGCTTGGTGCTAACAGTGGTCTGCACATCATCATCTTTGATGAAATTGATGCCATCTGCAAACAGAGAGGGAGCATGGCTGGTAGCACGGGAGTCCACGATACTGTCGTCAACCAGTTGCTGTCCAAAATTGATGGGGTAGAGCAGCTGAACAACATCTTAGTCATTGGTATGTTTGTTTAGAAAAAAGTACTATGATTTCAAAAACATTAGACACATAGGTTTGGAATTAAGATCTGTGTAGGTTGTAATTATACTACTTTGCCAATGTTTCCAAGTTAGAATCAAGTGATATTGAAGAATTTGACTAATTTAATGTCTAGCCTTAACAGGACAAATGAAAGATGGGTTTTAGTAACTCACGGGCTTAGCCTATAGCTCACCCACAGATTTAAAAGGCAGTACAATGTAATGCAGTGGTTTTCAAACTTGGTCTTATAGGCCTCCAAGGGTCATCAGAGGAGCTTCAGGGTCTGTGAGGGCCACAGAGTGAGCTTCAGATCATGCATCCCTGTTATAACTTCATCTTTTAACTGTTTTATGTACTGAGCTTCTTCTTAAGATGACATCGGGGGGAAAACTTTGCTGTTTATGAAGGTTGAAAACCATTGGCCTACAAAAAAAGGGAAGGGACTTTGGTCTCAGATCATGTTCACATGGTCCTTCTCTCACTTTGGCAGGTCACTTACCCTATCTGAACCTAATTTTTCTTTTTAAATATTTGAAGTTTTTATTGTATTTGTATTCCATTGGCTTGTACAGTAGTGAAATGTTAAAGCAAAGTCTCCAGGTATTTTCATTAGAAGAGATCAAGAACAAATGGTATTTTTATTTGAGAATAATTTGGTTTTCTATTTGACTTTTATAAAATGTCCTCTTAGCTTCTAAGATAAATTACTATTCTTACATATATTGAAGGAAATTTTTCTCTTATTTTTATCATTTGTATATTGTTTTAACATCTGTGCTCAGGAATGACCAACAGACCAGATCTGATAGATGAGGCTCTCCTTCGACCTGGAAGACTGGAAGTTAAAATGGAAATAGGTAAGTAGACCTGTCACTGATGGCATGGGGGTGGGGGATGTATTTAGAGTTCATTAGCAGGAATAAAGGCATATCATTCAATGATTTAATGTTTGTGAGAAAAGTTGTATAGCATGAGAAGCAGATGTTTACATGTTTGAGTACCTATAAGAAAAGCATTAGGGATACAATAATCTCTACTGTATTTTCAATTTTATCAGGATTACCGGATGAGAAAGGTCGACTGCAGATCCTTCACATACACACAGCAAGGATGAGAGGGCATCAGTTACTCTCTGCTGACGTAGACATTAAAGAGCTAGCTGTAGAGACCAAGAATTTCAGCGGTGCTGAACTGGAGGGTCTGGTGCGAGCAGCACAATCCACTGCTATGAACAGACACATTAAGGTCAGTCAAGTCAACTAATAGATTAGGAGTCTGCAGCTCTGTAAATACTGTGCCAGTGTTCTTTCTCTTTCCCTTCAAGCATACCAAGGGCTGGGGTGGTGCTGACTTCTGATAGAGAGGATTCATGGTAAAAGGAATAAGAATTGACTATCAACTGCTAAATCCTCAGAGTAGCAGGAAACATAATGGTAGCATCTGCCCCATGGTGACCACTGACCCATCTACCTTAGGTTGTCACCATCTGATACATGTGAAGATGAAGATTTTGAAGAAGTTTTTAAATCTTTGTGCTGTGTTGAGTTATAACATGTCATAGGAAGTTGGATTTTCTACATTCTAGAATTATGGGGGCTGCTTCTTTAAGAAAATGTACTGCATAATTGCTATTTTTGTGGTATTAAACTGGAGACACCAAGATAATGAAGCATGACCTCTCCCCTCAAGGAATTCAGAGTCAGGGAAATGGACATGTTTGCATATTAGTACAATAATGTATTGATACTCTGGTAGAAATACATACGGGGATACTTTTATGTACATTTGATTCTTTCCCATCCTTCTCCTCTTCAAGTTTTAGTTATCACCTATAGATAGATGACTCCCAGATTTATAACTACCTGGATGTTTTATCAGATCTCATTTTATGTTCCAAAACCAAATTTGCTGTCTTTTTAAATTTTTTTATTTTTTGCTCCTATTTTGCTGATATCTCAATTTGCCTGGCTTAAAACTTCAGGGTTATCTTTGATTGCTGTCACTCTACTGTGTCCTACATCAAGTCATTTGCCAAATTTTGCCAGTTCTATCTTGGTACTATATTTCAGTTCTCAGTGTCACTGTCTACCTTCTGTTTGATTAATCTTCCTATTTCATACTATTTACCCTTCAGCAACTTTCAGCAAGTCACCTTTATCTACAGAACAAAGAACAGACTTCTTAACCTTGTCTTTAAGGTCCACTAGTCCTTATGCTAGGCTAGCCTTCCCAGATGTGTTCCCAATTCTCCTTACACCTTAGTCAAACCAAAATACTCACTGATCATCAGACATTAATTTATTTTTCCACTTCTCTGCTCTTTTTCCCTTCACTGAGAGTCTTTACCTTCTCTGCTTACTTATCTTTTCAATACCTGGTTCATATGCCACCATTTTCTTCAACCCTTTTCTGATTGTCTCTTCCAAGAATGATGTATTATCTTCCTTCCTGAAAGAGTAGTGTATCATTAATGGTACCTTCAGTTGACTTTGGTTCAAAATAGATTTATTCAGCACCTCCTCTATGCCAGACACTGTGCTAGGGGTTAATGTACAGCTGCAAAGAAGTAAATTGCCTACCTTTGAGCAGCTCACTGTCTGTCCTCCACATAGAAGGTGAGGAAATGAAAGGTGTCAAATGTGGTCAGTTTGTGGGATGAGAAGAACCTTCACAGAGGAATTTCTGTGTCTCTTGGTGGGGTAGGTAATTTTAGGTAGAAGGAACAATATATGCAAAGGAACAGAGACACAAAATAGCATGATATGTTAGGGTAATGCAGTATTGCTTCAGCATAAAAGGTAGGGGAGGGGTGGTAGAGATATTGTGAGGAGACAAGTCAGGAGAGTAAAGCAGGAGATGGAGCACAAAGAGCCTTTTATACTGTGCTAAGAAGTATGCACTTTTTTCTGTGAGTAGTGCTAAGCCATTGAAGAGTTTTAAGAATAGCAGTTACATAGTGTTAAAACATAAGATCACTCTGGCAGCTGTGTCGAGTGGAGTATTTAGGGGAGTGGAGTTGGCGACACAGACAAGAGAGAGGAACTTTTATAACAGTTCTTACAGGAAATAATAAAAGCCTGAACAGTTAGGTTGAGTATGTTCTAGTTATTTGGGAATATTCTAGCAATGGCTCTAAACCAAGGATCAGCAGACTGTGGCCCATGGGCCATATCTGGCCAGTCACCAGTTTTTACAAATAAAGTTTTGTGTGTGTATTTAATATATTTTTTTATTGATTTCAGAGAAAGGAAGGGAGAGGGAGAGAGAGGTAGAAACATCAATGATGAGAGTCACTGATTGGCTGCCTCCTGCACGCCTGCTACTGGGAATCAAGCCCGCAACCCCAGCATGTACCCTGACCGGGAATTGAATTGTGACCTCCTGGTTCATGGGATCGATGCTCAACCACTGAGCCACACCAGCTGGGCCAAATAAAGTTTTTTAGAACACAGCCACCACACCCATTCATTATGTATTGTCTGTGGCTGCTTTCATTCTACAATGACAGAGTTGAGTATTTGCAGCCGAGACTGCATGGCCCACAAAGCCTAAAATATTTACTATCTGGCTCTTTACAGGAAAAGTTTGCCAAGCCCTATTCTAGACTCTAAGTCTGTATCTTATTCATCTCCCACAGTATCTCAAATAGGTCTAAATATTGAGAACATTGTAGATAGTTAATATTTTTTAAGTTAGTAAACTTATATATGTATTCTGAATAAAACTATCTGTAAGTCATAATTTCCCTACATAATAGAAATGACTTTGTTCTAGATCAAGAATGCCATACTGGAGGAAGCCACTTTAGATAGATAAGAAAATCCTCTTTCGCAACCTCTTTAGACCCAATAGGAGGAAGATACTAGTACTGTTGCATTTTTAAAAAAAGCCAAAGGTCTAGATAGGGTTGGAATGTAATATTAGGTTCTTTATGAAGTGGATTTTTCCTTTCTTTTTCTTTTCTTTTCTCTCCTTGCTATAGGAAATGTCTTGGTAAGAAGTGATGGTGACTTCAAAAAAAATTGTATAAATGATGTGAGAATTGTTGCCCACCTTACTGATCCTTCACCTCAGACCACACATCAGTACTTCCTGATATAATCCACAATAACGAGTTTATTAGTTATCAGATTTTCCATATGCATTAGCCACTGGATTTTTCTCTTACTTTGTTATTTGCCATTTTAACCATAATAATCTTATCCCAGCATGTTTCTAAACCATCATCTCACTAAGAAACATGCTTTCTTTAAGCGTGCATTAGGTATACACGTGAAGCAATGAGATAGGGTGGAAAGATCACATATTCCATAGTCCTGAGGTGTGATTATGTATTATACTTCTTCACTTTCTTGTTTTTGCTCTGTCAGAGAGCAGTGACTATGTATTTCATCTGGATTTTTGTGAAAATGAAATCAAATACTGTATATAGGAGTGCTTTATAAACTACATATAAATGTTAATTCTTCACATTTTTGTTATTATTGGCTGATTTGAGAGATATCATATATATCCTTTTCAATATCTGAGTTTCTGGTTTTTGTTGACTATTTGCTGTTATCATTTTTCTAATTGCAAAGCTAATATGTTGGTTACCACTATACAGAATATATTATCCTTCAGATTTACAAGTAAGAACTAGTGCAAGTAGTGGATATTATTTCCCTCACTTTTTCCATGTGGTTGAATTATTTTTAATTTAAACTTCAGGCAACATGTAGACTTGTGATCAACACCTTTTGTACCAAAGCTTTTAATTTTTTACAGTATCTGTGGAATATCTAACACAAGGGACTTATAGGCATTTCAAGGAAGGGAAGGCTATGTGAGACACTAACTTCACCCCCAAAAGAATAACACTAACATTTATTCCCTTTTCTACATTTTAAAAAATCTGTATTGTCAAAAGTTCTTTAAACACTGTTTTCCTAACAAGACTCCTCAGCCAAACAAAAGGCATACAGTTTTAATATCCCCATTGCTGTCGGTGTTCATCGCTTCACCAGTAGTGACTGATGAGTAAGCAATTTGAAACTTATGATTTAAAGTTGGTATGGAACCGATACACAAAATTCAACTGTTATGGGGTTCTTTCTTTGCATTATAAAAAGCCATTATTAGTGGGTTTTGCTCTCTTTTCAAAAGATTTAGGTTTAAACAAAGTCAGGTGGACTAAACTAAACAGATCTTCCCTGTTAAACTGTTCTTTCAGGTTTCCTGAAACAAGTGGAAAATCCAGTCATAAACACCTGATGTTCATGTCATTTGTAGTTGAACCCATGTTTGTGGTCAACTGAAATTCATGTAACATTTGGTTATTTTTATCTTGAAAGGAATTTCTACTTCAGGTAGAGAAGACTCATAACCCAAATTTCTTATGCTCTTATCTGCTGTAAGGAAATAAATTGATGACACACACACACATACACATACTTTACAACTGAATCAAAGCTCTGATTTATGTTTGCAGAACTTCAATAAAATTATTTCTTATTTTCAGTAGAATTTTGATTGATTAAGGTCACTCTACCCTTAATTTAACAGGAATGATAAGAACTTTGAAAGGTCAGATTTAAAAGGTTATGAAATTTAAGGGTGACCACTTGATATTTGCTAGTGTTGAAATACAAGTTTATTAGTTTCTGCAGGTATAAGCTGAAAGATGTTGCCTCTTCTATATTGATTAGCTGTTATAAATAAAATGCAGGGGAAAATCACACTAATTCAGACAAATGAGAAAAGGTTTTCTGAATGAGTAAAAATTCAGAATTGTAGAATTTTTTAAAATAAGGTTTTACTATTTTTTTTAAATAGTAAAAAATTAGCTAAGAGAAAGCCTTAGAAAACTTATTTTAATGAATAGAAATAATTCACAATTGTATTACTGTTGATAGTATATAATTAGGTAACCTCTGAAATTCTTAGAGTACCTAAAACCAACTTATTCTAAAATAACTCTACCCCATCCATCTTAATTCACTTTTAATTCATTGGGTAAGTCCTTTCTTCATAGTTAAAAGACAAGTTGCACACCAGCTTCAGTCCTGAAATCTATCATATTTTTTGGCAAACGTTGAAAGATAGACAAGGTTTTCCCTTTATATTGCTATATGTTTCTGTCATTTCAGTTTCACTATAAGAGGAAATCAAAATATAAAACGTCTTAGTAAAAAGTTAGGGCTGTATAGGGAAAGGACATTTAAAATGATCTGGTAGCTTCACTGGGATTTTAATGTGACTCTGTCAGAGCTTGCTTCTTCACTTTCAACTTAAAGTTTATACCTTGTAGAATTCTTTTAGATGTGTCAAAAAGTCTTACTCAGAGTTTAAAGCCTTTATATAAGGTTACCTAGGAAGGAAATTGTATATCTACCCTTAATTAAATCACCCTTACCCTCAATTTAAGAAAACTTCCAGGTTTGAATAAGAACAAAATGAGACAATGGGTATGATGAAATGAGATAATGTATATGAACATACTTTATAAACTATAGAGCTAAAAGATTTATATATTATAAACATCATAATTCTTTCAGGAAAATGCTTGTTTCCTGTAACACAATTTTTTTAGGCTTAGAGATGTCAAAAAATGTGATCCATATTTATCGAATACCTAATGTGTACCAATGAAAACCCTATTAATAATTTAAATGCTAATTGTTCTCTTTATTTAAGTAGAATATTTGTCTATCTATTTAAATCTTACTTGTTACCTGCTCTCTTTTTAAAAATATGGAAGTCATACATGAATACATTCTCTTTGTAGAACACTCAAGGATGCCAAAGTGTATAGGGAAAAGTGGGACAGGCCTTCTTTAACACTGTCATTTTATTTGTCTCAGCAGCCTGTTCCTAAAGGAACATGACTCATATTTTATAATAATCAATGGAAGATTGATGTTGCTTAACATACTTTTGTTTTATAGTCAGATTTTTTTTAAGATAACTTTTTTGTAAACCATAGTACCATTTTAAATATTAGACTTACTTGCCTGGTGCTATTGGGAGAGAGCCCAGTCACATTTTAAAATGTGCTGGTATCTCAATCACTCATCAGGTCCAGGCAGCTCCAAGTGCTGATAAAGGCCTTGATGCTTCTCCAGATGTCTGTTCTAAGTGTCAGCTCCAGGTGCAGTAAGCAGAATATTTGAAGCTGGCACACAGATTCTCAAGCACAAAGTATGAGTACAAATCAAAGTTGTAGGTCCTTGGTCTCCTGGAATAATGGTTTACAAACCTGGTTGAGCATCAGAATTAGCTGCGGCGCTTCATAAAAACATAAATGCCTGGACCCTCTTAAATCAAAATCCTGATGGGGGTGGGGCTGGGTATCTGTGTATCTATAAAGGCTCAAAGGTTATTCTGATATAAGAATGACAGCCAGTGTTCTTAGAGACCCTCCTTATGTATTTTCTCCTCCTTGAGCCTTATTTAGAAAGAAACGGCTACCCAGTGTTCTTTGGTACAGATGTGTCATGATTGACTTAACTGATACCCGCCTGGTGGACATTTAATTTGCTTCTTCTCTCCCACTATTACAGATCACTGTCCATATCCTGGTAATATAACATTGCACACATCTGTGAATATACTTATGGGATAAATCCCCTAGAAGTAGAACTGTTCGGGCAAAGGTGTATATGTTTGTGAATTTGAGAGAGGTGTTATTTGTCTGTGAAAATATGCTTTTAAACATCTTCAGGTGTTACATTCTTAGGCTGAAAATATTCTTAAATCTTAGAATTCCTTACATTTTGTTTTCATTTCTAACTAGGCCAGTACTAAGGTTGAAGTGGACATGGAAAAAGCAGAGAGCCTGCAGGTGACCAGGAGCGACTTCCTTGCTTCTTTGGAGAATGATATCAAACCAGTGAGTATGAATATTGAGTGATGTATAAGCCAAAAAATAATAATTTAGGAGAAAAGTAACTGCCGTTTTACTCAGTATTGTGGAAGGTTATATCCTGTGTAGTTTTTAAAAATAAAAAAATCTTAGTATTAGAAACATTCAAACAATAACTCTGATGGCTGGGTAATTAACCTATGCTTACTGAAATATTTCTCATGATAGGGAGCTCACCATCTTACAATGCAGACTATCCCATTTTGAGACTTTCTGATTTTTAGTTCTTACTTTATATTGAACTAGAATTAGTTTTCTCACTGGTTCTTATACAGTCCGAAGCTGCTGAAACCAAAATTCATCCTAATTCATCCATCCTCCATGTGTTAGTTATGTATTGTATTTAAAATTAACTCTCATATTCTCCTCTCTCTACCCTTCTCCAACCTCCTCCAAGGCATGCCTTTTTCTTGCTCAATACCTTTATGTCCTTTGACTGCTATAGTTTGTAAGGACTGTTAACCATTCTAAGTGCCCTTTAAAAAATAATGTGTCACCCAGCCGGCATGTCTCAGTGGTTGAGCATTTATCTATGATCCAGGAGATCACAGTTCCATTCCCAGTCAAGGCACATGCCCCAGTTTCAGGCTCAGTCCCCAATGGGGGCATGCAGGAGGCAGCCAATCAATAACTCTCTCATCATTGATGTTTCTGTCTCTCTCCCTCTCTGAAATCAATAAAAACATATTTTTAAAATAATAATAAAAATAAATAAAAAATAATGTGTCAAATTTTTTTAATGCACTCAAAACTCAGTAGTCATAGTTGGAGCTTTAACAATACAGTATAAGGTCATTAACCCACTTTCCCATAAAATAACCACTAATGTTTGGTTACTTTTCCTTGAGTAACCATTGTTTGGAGTCCTATATTAGTACAAAAACAAAGTGCAGAAAGGCCTCTTAAAGAGGTATATGTATGTTTGGTTTTCTTTTTTAAATGAACCTCAGGTGCACAGAATTGGATTAGTCTTAATCTTCAGTTTGTGACACACTGTTGTCATTAGTCTACATAGTATGTAGAATAAAGTACAGTGCATATAATTTTGGGGGGCTTGCTATTTTATTACCAAGAATCATCCATATGATTTTCTGTAGCTGTATGTCATTCATTTTCATTCCTGAATAGCATTGCATTGTGTGACTACCACAATTTTTCTGAATGGGCATTTGGGACATTACCAGTTTTTTGTATTACAAACAAGTGCTGCTATAAGCATTCTTGAACAAGTTTCTCTTAGATATATATTGAGGAATAAAATTGCTGGTTTGTTGGGCATATGAATGTCCAACTTCAAACTGAAGAATTTCAAACTTTTCGCAGTGGTTGAAACAGTAAGCACTTTCCCCAATAATGTAAAAGAGATCCTGTTACTCTACATCATCTACACTTGGTATTGTCAGACTTAATTTTTGCCATTCAGTTGGATGTAAGATGATATCTCATTTTGGTCTTAATTTGGTCTTACGAAGGTAAGTATTTCTTCATGTATTTATTGACCATATGAGTGTCTTTCATGAGATGCTAGACATGTCTTTGCCTGTTTTACTGTTGTATGTTTATTCTTTATTTTTATTTGATCGTGTAAGTTCTTTATATAGTCTTGAAAATAATTATTTGTTGCAAGTATTCCCTTTAAAGATAAAAATAAGTTTGTTTTAGCCCTGTCTACTTTTTTGTTGCCATTGTGACTTTTAAATATAAAATATTTACTTCCAAAAGTTACTGAGCAATGGAAATGCTTAATCTTTCATTGATGTCATTTGTAATAGTTACCAAAAATATTATAGCCCAGCCTAACTGATCTATTTCAAGATTTTTAAATGGCAACTGATTTGGCTACAAGAAAGGGGAAACTAAGATAACTAAGTTAAGTAAGGAATAAGTTTCTTTTCTTTATTCCAAGAGCCTGGGGGACAAAACAAAAAATTAAGTGATGGGATAAGTAAGGAAGACTCACATATTGTGTAGCCCAGGAGGGTCCCTGTTTCCTGGTTCAGGTATCTTAAAGCTGCTGCTGTGAGACTTAGAGCATATACTTGGAATAATTAAAGACAAAAGTCAGCCAATCTACATATTTCCTACAGCAGTATTTATTACGCTCTTCCTTTATAACTTTTTACAGGGCCACTGAATGCAGCACCATGTCCAGACCAGGGAATGAGGACTTTCCTTTGTACTCAGGAATCAAAGGTCTAGTGTATGCAAGGACCAAAGAGAGCTCTGAGAAATGATTTGGTGGCAAAGTAATAGAGTAATGAGACCATTGTATACTGTTTAGAGACGCTGTTATAAAGAATGATTTTCTGTGAGGTGCAAGTTCTAAAGAAGAGTTAAAATTATTCCGTACATCGGGGTAGTGAAAAATTAACTTGGTGAAGGATGTAATAACTTTGTAAAATTCTCAAGACATATGACCTTTACATTTCATTGGGTTATGTTTTCCTACTCATTTCTTGTTAACCTTATGAAAATTCAATTCAGTTAAATAACTAAGTACTAAAGTTATTGACTGCTTTTGGCAGCTGGTTTGATGGGAGTTCCAATATGAGATTAGAAGTTGAAAATGAAGAGGGATGTGATTTATACTCCAATATGTAATGAACACAATTAAAATTATTACATATAATAATTGCTTTTATTTTATTGTCCTAACCTGTCAATCTTTCATTACAACTGCTCATTTCTGCCTCATTTAAAATCTTGTATTTACACACGTATACTTACCTTGGTGCCATTTAACTTGTATCTCCTTTCACCAAGCTGATGTGGACAGGATCTCCTCATTACCATTTTACATTTCCATTTTAATCCACGACACCTACAGTAAGAGTTAGGATAGTGTCTTTGTCTGCTTTAACAGAAGAAAACAACCCATGTACTTCTTACAGAAATAAACACATTGGAACATACCCTTTCTCAGGGATTATGACAGCTTGGGCTCTGGTAGAATCTGAGCCTAGACTCTATTGTTTTTTCCATTAAGTCGCCCAAAGCAGCACCCCCTCTCCCCAATTTGGTAAAAAATGAAATGCGAAATTATAAAATAGTGGAGGTTCTTTTGCTTTTCAGGCTTTTTACATTAATATGGGATATTAATGGGCTCAACACTTTTATTGTGTAGAATTATTACTCATCTTTTATACCTTTAACTATTTTAATTTTTAATACTAATGCTTAAAATCCTTTTCTTCCATAGGCATTTGGCACAAACCAAGAGGATTATGCAAGTTACATTATGAATGGTATCATCAAATGGGGTGATCCAGTTACTCGAGTTCTAGAAGATGGAGAGCTGCTGGTCCAGCAGACCAAAAACAGTGACCGCACACCATTGGTTAGCGTCCTTTTGGAAGGTGAGAAGAAATTATGAGATGGCATTAAAAGTTTAAAAAAAAGAGCAGCACTTTTACAAAGCCATGTAGCACATTCCAGAAAAATGAATTGTTTGCATTTTAAAAGCTGTTCATCATCTGAAAATAGTAGTCCAGTATATGTGTACCAGCATTGTATACAAGTTCAAGTTCTGTTGGGGATAGAATGTTACTGATGAATGACAGCAAATAGTTTTCTGGTAGTATTGTATCTAAATTTCTATGTTACTTAATAGACTGTAATACCACATAGTACTCAATTTACTTAAATAAATATTCACTGAGTACTTTGTACTACTTACAAAGATGTTCATGAAGTTCAGTTTGATCATTGAAAAAGACATGTAAAGAGTCCTAACTACAGTGTATATGTGTAAAGATGTGTGTGAATGCAAGTCATTTTGCCCATCAGTGGTCAGGGTAATTTAATTTAGTGTTTCATTTCATTGGTATTTAGAGGTGGTATTTAATTTAGACTTTGAAGGATCAGTTAGGATTTTACCAAGTAGACAAAAAGAGAAGGACATTCTCTTCACCAGTTGTTTATTTACAGTTATGATGAGTACAACAGAAGTTCAGTGAGTCCACATGACAAGGGGATTGAACCCTTCCTGACAGTCTGGGGGTAGGCTCACTGAGAGAAACACATGAAGCAAGACCTGAAGGATGAGGAGAGTCTGGCTGCACAAATTAATCAGGAGATGTACTATGTAGAGCGACCCACATGTGAAAAAGCCCTGGGCAGGAAGGAAATTGAGCAGAAAGAGAGATTGGCTAGACATGAGACTGAAGAAGTAGACAGGAGCCAGTTCATGCAAAGCCTTGTAGACCATGTTAAAGATTTAAACTCTCTGAGCAGCAATGGGAAGCCATTTGTAGAGTTTTAAGCAGTGAAGTGACATGATCGGATTTGTATTTTCAAAACATCACAGCTGCTTTGTGATCGAGAATGGATTGGAAGGGCAAAAAAAGATATAGGAGAGTCCAATGGTTAGGATCAGTTGCATTAGTCTTAATGAGAGCTGATTGTAGTTTGAAGTAACAGTGGTAGTGGAGATGAGGTAAGTAGACCATTTTGAGAAATATTTAGGAGGTAGAATAAAAGAGACTTCATAGTATTATAATTATTATTAATTATAATTAAGCTATCATTCTTTGAACTCTTACTATTTGCCAGTCACTCTACCAGAACTTTACACATATTATCTCGTTTAAACCCCACTTCAGTCCTGAAGATAGACGCTGCTGTTATCCCTATTTTGTAGATAGAAGAGCTGAAGCTAGAAATATTCAGTAACTAGATGGACTATGGGAGAGGTGTCAAGCATAATCCCCAGGTTTCTAGTATACACAGCCTGTTTACTAAGATTGGGAGCACTAGTGGAAAGGCAGGTTTGGGGAAGAAAGATCATGAGTTCAGTTTTGGATATGTTGAGTTTGAGGTTCCTATAGGATGATTGAATTGGAAATGTTGAGTAGCCCATTGGATATGTAGGTCTCATGCTCCAAAGGGAGGTCTGGCTGCAATATACATTCATGAATTATCAGTATATAGACTGTTGTTGAATCCGTGGGAGTGGATGAAGCCACTTACAGAAAGGGTATAGGTTGAGAAGAAAAGGGAGCCTAGAACTGGTCTCTGATGTATGTCAACATTTAAGAACTAAGTAGAGGCCGCCCAGGCATGGTCAGCAGTTGAGCATCGACCTAGGATCCAGGAGATCGCAGTTCAATTCCCGGTCAGGGCACATGCCCAGGTTGCGGGCTTGCAGCTGATCAGTGATGACCCTCTCATTGATGTTTCAACTCTCTCTCCCTCTCCCTTCCTCTCTCTGAAATCAATAAATATATATTTAAAAAAAAAAAAAAAAGAACTAAGTAGAGCAGGAAGAGTTGACAAAGGATACTGAGCAAGAGTAACCAGAGAGGTAAGAGGAAGGGGAAAGAAAATGTGCTCCCACAGAATCAAAGAAAAATATTTAAAGAAAGAGGAGAATTATCAGTTGTATAAAATATTCTTAAGAGGCCAACAGATAAAGTGTCTGTTGGATTTGGTGACACGGAGGCCATTGGTGATCCTGATGGGAGTCTGTTCCATGTAATGGAAATGGAAGACATAGGGTTTGTTTGAGAAAGGATGGAAGGAGAAGAGTGAAGGTAGCCAGAGTAGATCATTATTTAGGGAAGTTCCATTTGAAGGGAGAAGAAAGAGTAGTGTCAAGGGGTGTGAAGAGGAAGAGGTGAACATAGGGGGAGAGGGCTCTATCAATAATGTCAGATTTAGGAAAAGATGGGGAGGAAGAATTGGTTGGTTCAGGGGTGGAAGAGGGACACATCTTCTATTACGCAGAATGGAAGAAGGAAAGATGTCTAAATACAGGTAAGTTTGTAGATTGGTTGCCTTTATGCAAAGGCCTGAGTCTTTAGAATTCTAACTTTTTAAGTCACATTTGCTTCTAATAAGGCAGTTTTTCCCTGCCCCCACAATCATCTCCTAAAATTGTATTTTTTTGTTAGACAAAATGATTTGGTAGAACTAAACATAAATAGTGATATGCATTTAAATGTACTCTTCTTTTAAGAAGCAAAACCCTTGTGTTTTTATATATTTAGCCAGAAGTTTAAAAGATTAAGGCTATGTGAGAAAGAAAGAAGGAATGTATTTCATCATACTTTTGAGAAATGCTAATCAGTTCATTAAGTTTAGTTGCTAATAAATAAGAGCAAACATGTCTGCCGTGAAATTGTGTCAGGATATGCTAATGAGCAACTAGTTGAGACCTCAATACCTTGTAGATAAAAGTTTAAACTTGTTTTATCCCCCTTTGCTTAGGTTGGCTTTTTCCCCTGACTTGCTCATATCTTTATGCAGGCCCTCCTCACAGTGGGAAGACTGCATTAGCTGCAAAGATTGCAGAGGAATCCAACTTCCCCTTTATCAAGATCTGTTCTCCTGATAAGATGATTGGCTTTTCTGAGACAGCCAAGTGTCAGGCCATGAAGAAGGTATCAAGATTTTTACTTTCATTTTAATTTCATATCTCTTAGATATGTGTGTGTGTGTGTACACGTGTACATATATATCTATGTTTGTGTGTGTATATATGCCATAGCAACTATGTTTTTCTCAAGTGGAACTAAATTATCAGCAGAATTTGGGAAGAAACAGCAACTATTTTAGATTAGTTTAACTTTGTAATGCATTTTTATTACTTTTGTTTTATACATATTATAATTAATTTTCATTTCTTAAGTTTGTATTGGCTTGATTGAAAGAAAGATCCTAGTTGAGAGCATTTGAGTAGAGTGGAGCAAATTCATTTAGGATTTTTTTTTAAGTTCTTTCATCAGTGTACAAAATCAAACTGTTTGAATGTCAATTCAGTTGACTGTATACAGAAGTGTATCATTGGAAATATATTTTCAAAAACCCCTACAAAAGGATGATGGTATATTAGATCATCAAAGTTTGCTTGGCAACTTAATGCAGTCCTCGTCCTTCTTCCTTCTCCAAGTGCCATTTGTCACCTTCTCAGTATGGCTGCTTTGAGCCATCAGTGAGTTAGAACAGCATAGAATAGATTCCTAGAGCTGGGGGACTATTAAGACCACCTGGTCCATCTCTTATACATTCAAGCAAATGCCTTGTTAGGCATCTGGGGTAGTAGGTGGCTGCTCTTTAACAACAACAAAAATCAATGATGAAAACTTAATGGCTGTTTCATCTCACTTGGTAGCCAGTGTTTCCATTGATACTCTGATTTTGTATACTCCCAGAGAGGGAAAAAATTTTATTTTGTATCTAGTTGAAGTATTTCTTTTACTTAAATCCTTTTTTTCATGCCTGACCTTTTATAGATAAGAACTGACTCTGAGTTAAAGAGATGTGGGAAAATCAGAATCAGGGCAAGTAATCTTGAGAACTGAAGTGCTACCTAGTGAAGACAGCTCAGGTGTTCTTTTACTGTGCTCAGAGGCCCTCACTTTATAAAGAAATAGGGTAGAATTACTTCAGTTTTTCTTTAGGGAAGAAAATGAAGAGGAAAACAATGTTTAAAAAGAAGCATACTCCAAAAAAATATGTTTGAAAAGTTAGTTTCTTGTTTGTGCAGGTGGCAGAAAATTATTTGTGTAGGGTGCTTGGAATGGTTGGAGGAGGCAGAGCTTGGAGCAGGATTCCAGTCCTGCACAATGAAATGTGAAGTTAAGTATTCTATATAAGGAGCCCTGGCCAGGCAGCTCTGTAGGTTAGAGCATTGTCTTGATACACCAAGGTTTCAGGTTCAATCTCTGGTTCATACAAGAAGCAACCAATGAATGCATAACTTAAGTGGAGCAACAAAACCATGTGTCTCTCCTCCCCTTCCTCTCTCTCTCAAATCAGTAAATTTAGAAAAAAAATTATATAAGGACCTTTGAAATTGAGTATGAATGAGAGGGAAATGTTTTCAGACACAAAAAGAACTTAAATATCATAGTTTATTGTGTGTCTGGAATAATATCTGTTCTTGAGAAAATCTAGACAGAATCATGAGGACCAGTAATTTCCTTGATGTAGGTAGGGGTTGGTTTTCTTTGTTGGTGTTTTCCCCCTCTAAAGCAAACCCTTAAGCCCCTTCCTCTGGTAAAAATTTAAGTAATAGCCCTTGGAATCTGTGGTCATTGAATTTACCTTTTAATTGAACAGCTGATTCTATTGGCATGTTTCTAACTCCATCTATTCCTTATACTTGTAAAAAGAAGTCATCTTCTGTCCTGGCCGGTGTGGCTCAGTTGGTTGGGCATCATGCACCGAAAAGTTGCTGGTTCAAGTCTTGGTCAGGGCACATTACCCAGGTTGCGGGCTTGATTCCCAGTAGGGGGCTTGCAGGAGGCAGCCGATTGATGTTTCACTCTCACATCATTGTTTCTCTCTCTCCCTCTCTCTTCTTCCCTCTCTATAAATCAATTTGTAAAATCTTTAAAGAAAAAAAGTAAAAAATAAAAAAGTAGTCATCTTCTGTGCAGATGGTAAATTACTCCATTGCTTTTCACCAGCTGCCAGCATCTGCCTCAGATGTATTCTGAGATGTGGGTGGATGGTCCTAGCTTTTGTATAAAAGTTTTTAAAAAGTACTTTAGGCTCCTGCAGATCAAAGCTGCTTTGTAAGTGTGAGATATTATCATTTTTATTATTTTAATCTCTTGCAAATTGACTTGAGGGGGGAAGGTAATATGTGCTGTTTTTAGAGGCTTAAATGGTTAAATTAATGGCTTAATAACTTATGTTTTAATCTTTAAATTGTTGAAGCCTTTCAAGGCAGAGTTTTAAATGAGTGGAAGGCTAAGGAATATGAAAATAAGTGTCTACACAAGCTTATTCAAAATTGTTTCAATTCATGATTCACTGTCTGGATCATCCATATACCCTTAAAGTTACAAAAATGTTTTCTGTTTCAGCAGTATAACAAAAACATATTCAACTTTTTGGTTTTCCTTGAGGAAAAAATATTATTCCCTGAAACTAAAGTACAGAACAGAGAAAGAATGAAGCATAGATGTCTTAGAATTATATTAGAAATATTGCAGAATCTTTCTGGGCAAATAATTTTCACATTGTTACCTAATGATAGGTTGACAAAAGCCTGAGGGCTCAAACCAGTCTAAGGTGCTAAGTCTTCCAGGTTGCTTGTGAAATGAAATATAAATGCCATTCTTCAGTAGCTCTAGTCTGCCTCCCACCACTGTTGTCTTCCCTTCATTTGTAGTGAGGATGGGAAAAAGATGTTTTAATTTTTTTTTCAGAGCAGAATTTATAATTTTTTTATCATTCTGGACAGGACAGTTCTTTCTTTCTTTGTAAGTGCTCCCCCCCCCCCCC